GAACACATCCTGATATCAGCTTGACAACAACCTTGTTACAACTTGTTTACAGATCTGCAACAACTTTCGTTGGCAACAACGTTTTTCGGAAGATCGTGACTAAAACACCACACGAGTACATATGAGTAACATACGAGTAACACACAAGTACATACGAGTACATACGAGTAACATACGAGTACATACAAGTAACATACGAGTACATACGAGTAACATACGAGTAACACACGAGTAACATACAAGTACACACGAGTAACATACGAGTACACACGAGTAACATACGAGTAAATACGAGTACATACGAGTAACACAAGTAACATACGAGATTTGTATGTTCTAAGACTCTAAAAATGTTTAAATGTAGTATATTGCTCACAGGCTGTCAGAGAGTTTTTGTAGTACATGAAAGTGCATGTTTGCCATGTTGTTTATACGTCTGGGGTCGGTTGTACGAAGGTCGGATAGCGCTATCCACCGGATAGTGATTTTTTCAACCTTTGTAAAATGTTTGAAAAACTGTGAAACTACGGATATAGACGACACAAGAAGTATAAAAAACATTTAACTTATAAATACTGCTAAACTTTAATACGAGTTATACCAATCAACGACTGATTTAACAAAGCTTGAAAAAATCACTATCCGGTGGATAGCGCTATGCAGCCTTCGTACAACCGGCCCCTGTAGTCTATGTGTTTTGCAAATTTTATACGTCAATTGTACACCGGGAAATATAAAACTGACTTAGGGTTCATTATTTATCGGTTGGGGGGGGGGAGCTGGTGGATTCTAAAATTCAAACAGCGTAATAAAAATGACCCTCCCTTTTAATGTGTTTAAAAATGTAGTCCACCCCTTTAGAACAGTCTGAAAATTTTTCACCCCACTCCAACATTAAAGTTAAGAAGAACATAGTATGGCCATATGGTAGTTCTTCCCATCCTATTCTTTTGTGTGCTCTTTACAACCAGGGGCGTAGAGAGGACCTTCAACTTGGGGATGCTGGACAGGATTTAGCCAACAGGGGGGGGGGGGGCGAAATAAAATCTAAATCCACAATGTAATTGTGTATAATCTTGTCTAAGTAAGTAGATATGGCCCCAAGAAGAAAGGGTTTACTTTGGGTTTTTAAATGTAAAATATATTTACTTTCAATCATCATTCGGTTTTAAAAGTAATTCGCATTATTTTAACCCATCATTTTCCATCACGAAAAATCATGTCTTTTATGCATTATACAGTCTTCGGACTTATGCAAACTCACACCCCGATGGTCCCTGAAATGCAGGAAATCGCATTTCGGGGACCCTAGATTTCAAAATATTCTGGGGGAGCGTGCCCCCAGACCTCCCCTAAAATGGCTCACTCCTTTTACGCTGGCTACGCCACTATCTCTATACTATCTTCTTTATATCAATGCTATAAAATTTTATTGTCTCCCCAAAACACTTCTTAAAAAGATTTAAACCACTCTTTTTATTTTACACCTATAAAATATATCCCCCCCCCCATTATTTTACCAGCGCCCCCCCAACCGATAAATAATGAACCCTAAGCATTTTATATTTCCCTGTTGAAAACGTATTAACAGGTGTACAATTGACGTATTAAATTTGCAAAACACATAGACTACAGACGTATAAACAACATGGCAAACATGCACTTTCATGTACTACAAAAACTCTCTGACAGCCTGTGAGCAATATACTACATTTAAACCTTTTTAGAGTCTTAGAACATACAAATCTTTATTCTATATTAATGAATTACTTTTTCTACGTCGTGCGAGGCTTCGAAATCCATCAATACGCATAGGAGAACGGGGCTGATGTTTTCTGGGGGAGGGGGCAGTTGAAAGTTTGCCTGAATTTTTATGGAGAATTGTAAAGAAATAACCTGATTTTAACATATTTTCTCATAAATCTGCCCGAATTTTCTTGATTTTTCCTAGCGTTTGCTCGAATTTCCATGGTTTTACAAAATTTTGGGGGGAAGTTGCCCCCCCCCCCGCCCCCTGTCTCGTACGCCTATGTCAATAAGGCATTTACAACATGAACATAATACGAAGCCAAAGTGAAAATGTGAAAGTGAAAGAAACTTTAAAGAAAGCGTGCTAATTCTCGTATTTTACTCGTATTTTACTCGTATGTACACGTATTTACTCGTATTTACTCGTATTTACTCGTATGTTACTCGTGTGTACTCGTATGTATACGTATGTTACTCGTATGTACTCGTATGTACTTGTGTGTTACTCGTATGTTACTCGTATGTACTCGTGTGTTACTCGTATGTACTCGTATGTACTTGTGTGTTACTCGTATGTTACTCATATGTACTCGTGTGGTGTTTTAGTCACGATCAGTAAAAATATGTCATAAAATATAAATTTTAAAATGAAATTGACTTGCCTATTTGATAGTGTGTGTTTTCCTTGTATTCCTCCTTTGTTGGACTAATATTTTCCAAGACTTTGTACTCGATGTTACTAGTATACATGAATGTTTCATGTATACTAGTAACATCGAGTACAATTAAGTCTTGGAAAATATTAGTCCAACAAAGGAGGAAAAAAGGAGAACACACACTATCAAATAGGCAAGTCAATTTCATTTTAAAATTTATATTTTATGACATATTTTTACTATAATATACATTACTATAATATA